CCGATGGAAAACTTTTGTGAATTTTCTTAAGTATGTCGCTGCTACCTATTGCACAAGTGTGAATAAAAAACTCCGACATCGATTCAACAACTTATGTGAGAAATGGCTACTTCTACCGTGCAATGGCTCCTAAATTCCACTTCATCGTTTTTTCTGTGACTTCGAACCATGGCTGAAATTTCCCTTAATGTATTGTTTCAAGCAAAGTTCACCAGACCCACCAGTGTGAGAATGAGGAGAATCTGAATTATTGTTGTTTCTCTATTCAGGTTATGGTGTCAATTTATTGGTGGCTTCGAATGCTGAAGCTATTCAATGCGCAAGAACAGCTAATGATATCGATCCTCCACCAGGCGACAAATGGACAGTTAAAGGAATAAATCAAGTATTTTACAGTGCAAATCTTAACGTAACACCATCAACACCAGGACCTAAGTAAGTGATTCTTTCCTTTCGTTTTGCATATCAATATGTGGTAACACTGATTTTGCATCTTAGAAAAAACTAGAATGTCATTTTCCGTTTTCAGAATAGAAACTACACTTTTTTTGCTTATTATTTAAATAGTCATATAATCGTCAGTGGTCTTTTGTTATGGGGGATTATCTGACAGTCCTGTCTCACGAGCGATACTCCGAATGGCGATACATATCCAATTCGGGATGTAAAAATATATCCTGATCGGGCTATATACTGAAGAGGATATATATTATAGCCCGAACGGGGTATATATCCTGATCAGGATATGATAGCCCGATCAGGGTATATTTTTATATCCCGAATGAAATATATATCCTCCCAAGCAAATATCACCTATAGGAAAAATCTACACACATTTCGTCTGTAATCGGGCGATACACGACTAGTTGCCATCTAGATTACTAGTTGGAAAAGGGACTTTTAACTAGATGCGTCTGCAGGTGCATCTAGTAATAGTTAAATCAATCGATTATCGGGTGATAAATCGATAGCAGCAACTAGAAAAAATCTAATAATCGCCCAATTACTAGATTTGTCGTTACACAGTAGTTGCAGCCGAGTAAAAATCTAGTAATCTAGATGAATCGGGCGGTACCAGATGGGTTTTTTTGACGCTTGGGCTCATCGGGATATATATCCCTTTCGGGCTATGTGACCGGACTGTCTGACTGTCAAAGATTTACAATTTGCATTTTTAAAAATTGATATGAGAAAGTTGACCTTATGTCTGAAAAGCGTTCCAATGTATTACGATTAACTGTTCAATCGGATCCCGAGATAACTTAAAAAAATAACAGAAAGAACTATAGAAATCGATCGAAAATCGTCAATTCCAGATCTGGTTGAAGATACATCCTTTACATCAACTATCTTTCTCGCTAGAAAGTTTCATTCATTTGGAGGACCTCTCGACCTCGTTTGATCCTGTGTATAACGAAAGAAGGTTTGATATACATCTGCAAGTGAAGTGAGATTTATTTTGCATCTCATTTTCAAATTCAATGTGAATATACTTTTAAACGTTTAAAATTGAGTTTGTACTTTCTGCGAATATAAACTCTCGCTATGGGCATCACGGAGAAAAAGAGTACAGAGAAAGACATTCTTTCTTCAAAAGAAAGTTTTCTTTTATTATTCGTTGTCCGGTTCGTCGCCAGCAGTAATATTTAAATATTGTTAAAATCAAGAAGACGCTGATATAAGAATATCTTTTGTAAAAACGAAAAGTCACTTTTTAGTGTAAGTATTTTTCATAATTAACTTGAATATTTGATAATAATTATTAAAGCAGTTTCTTCGTTTTTGCAACTGGTATTGTTGATTGATGTCCGTAATATGATAATTTGAAAGATGTTCTCACTTTCGATTATTGTTGACTGTTAGATATTTGTTGTTGTATTAATCGTTTCACCATTCCTTTATCTACTCTAATACCATGGTGAAGAACGTGTTCAGGATAATCTTTATTGTTCGGTCTTATCGAGTTAAAATGTCTGTATGTATGTTCGCAGCCGGACAGACAAACACATAGAATACCTCTATTTTCGCAGTTTCATGGCATATAGCCATGAAAGGACGGGGGCGATAATCTGATGAATCGGCTTATATCTGAATGTCATCGGCTAATCAGAGGCTTTATGTAGAATGAAGAGGGGAATTTTTCTAAGTATTTACTAGACGTTAGAGCCACTCAGAAAGATTTGATTAAGTTTCTACTACATCTGATATATATTATTAATCGTAGTTTTGGGCCTTTTTCTCTCAGTTTCACAATTTCCCACGACTATTATGTATCAGTCGAAAGCTCTTTTTATTCGCTATATTTCTGGATATCACAGGTATGGAGATAGCCGTTCTGAGGCCAAGTATATTTAGAAATACTGTTGGCTATAGAAAATGATCTCCTAGGTGCAAAAAGTCTCAGATATTTTATGTCAACATGTCTCATTCTGCCACTACAATAAATATACCATTCGATAGAGAATTTGTTGAGCTACAATTTGATATGTATAATACAGAGAAAAAAAGTGTTATAGGGCACCTTGACATCAGAAACGTTTCTGCAAAGTCAGAATTCTGCTCGTAATTCTCAGTTTTCTTCATCAGAACTCAACTTTTATGCAATAAAAATGTCATATTTGGAGTCAGGATTCAAAACTGAGTCGACCGATATGTATTTCCATCCTTCCGACTACTTTAGTTTTTGTTGAATTTTCACATTGAAACATTACCAAGATTTTCGCCAGAAATGAAAATAAAGTAAAAATTTTGAATCCAACGCGAAATTCTTGTGAACCAGAATTTGCACAGTCGAAGCAAGTGCCGAAGGCGCGCAGCGAGATAGCCATTTGTATAACGGTTAGCTCGGATTATGTAATCATAGATACGGTTTTTGTCTTTCAAATCTGACAAGAAATTAGTTTTAGTGTTACCGAACTAATCTTGTTATTGGTGAGCGAACATAGTTCAGCCATGATAGTAGTGCGCTGATGGAAAAAAGATTGATTTTTGCTTGTAGTCGGGCGGTAAAAAGATCAGATAGATTAGGGTCGAGTGATCAACCGATTGCTGAACCTTCAAATTTTATGCACTTTTCGTTGATAAATCTAGATCCGACATTACATATTACTGGTTATAGTAACCTTTTATTGACGATCAAATACTGTATTATCAGTCGTCTATGGTTTGTACATATCTAATGCGATATCTATTGTTTCAGTAATTGGTGCTATGGTGTATAATAGATCAACATCAAACTACACATACTTCTTGGTTATTATTGTGTTGAATATTTTAATTAGTTTGACAATCGAAAAGAATCTGTAAGCAGGCTTTTTGTGAAGGCGGTGGATCGACTTTTTTGCCTTCAGACAGTAAGGGGACACCTTCTATATCCCGATCAGGATATAGAAAAAAAGTAGTATCCCGATCGGGATATAAAACACGAAATTTCGTCGTAAAAACGATTAAGGGGAAAATGACGACATTTTGGGGTAAAATTGACTTCACCATTAG